CAGCAGGACATGTTTGAGCAGAAACAGTTTGCCGAACTTTATACACTTAAACTCCTGCCAAGGCAAACTCTTAGCCACTTGAGTTGGTTATAAATACCCAGTGGCAGTGGTTGGAAGTAGCCCACAGTGCATTTTATATTCTGAGCTGAACGTGAATGTCTTTGTGGCTATATAGAGTAGTAAATAATTGAGTTTGATTAGGGAGAGGGACCTCATTATCCCCCCACCTGTGCCCAGCTGGTAGGGGAGGGTCGAAATGAAGCCATTAGCTGTCTCTCTTACTGGCATCTCAAAGAGCTCAAATACATCTGTGTCTTATTTTCTTTTCTGGCACAATCAGTCGAGCAAGCTAAGCAGGCATGACCGAATTTGGCAAGTTCCAAGGACTCTGGCAAAGTTACACAAGGAGAAGAGGGAGGGCAGTCATTCTGGCTTCTAACTGCCCATTAGTCTAGCGAGTTGTGTTTTTGGAAAATGTCTGTTGTGGAAAGCAGTACTTTGTCCAATGTCAAACACAGCATTCGCAACAGCCCTCTTTGATGTTGTGTATGATTTGTCAGGAGGAGTCAAACAAAGCACTGCATTCATGGAAATGCTGGCTTCTTGGGATGATGAAGTAATACCTGAAAGACTCTGAACGAAGGTAGCTTAAAATAAATCTGTACTATCATTAGGGCTTTTTCCCTTGGAAATTTTATTATCACAACTTGACATACTTGATCTAATGGTGGTTCTAGGAGTTGTAGCTCAGCTGCCAGTTGGCACACAGATGAAATTTGGCACACAGTTCCTCTGCTCTGTAGCACTTTTTTTTCTGTTTTGATATTATATTTAAATTGCTTGACTATTATACATGTATTTTTCAGTAGCAGCACCTCTGCTCTACCTGATAGATTAAGGTTTGAAACATTTTTAAAATATCAGGCTCTCATCGCACATTTACAAATTCAATTCCAAGCTTCAAAATGTGTTTTTTACTTAGATTACAGAAGCACTCCCCAAAAGGCTGTTTACCAGTTTTTACATGGGTGTAGGTAATGTACAAAGTACATTTTAGAATATTCATAAAATGCAAATTTAAGAAAGTTAATGTAGGTGGCAAAGTTAAGAAGGTAGGCTCCCAGGATAGTGAATAGGGAGGGGTAGGACCCCAAGAAAGGAGTTGGAGCAGGAAGCTGACTTATTAGATGTCTAGCTTATAATAGTGTCAAAATATAGCCAATTAGATTCAAGAGCGCACAGTTATCCAAGGCTAACCTGAGATGCACAGAAACAAGATCATTTAGGCTTAGAATAAAAATTGTGGCTGGCGTAGTTATTCTGGTTCATATCACTGCGCACTTTATCTTAAAAATTACCCAGTTTAAGTTAAGCACATTGCGTCAACTGGGATTTTTAGTCTTAACTTTGATTTTGTGCTGATCGAGTGAAAATCGTTATTAGTCATTCACAGTCACTTTCAACCATGCCAGTCATTTTTACAGTGAGCTTTTTTCAGCCATGCCAACCATTTTTACGGTGAGCTTTAAGTGCTATAAATTCCACTCAGTGTTTAAAAAAAAAAAAAGTAAAATAAAAAAAAATGCTCCGGATTGGAAAGGCAGCTTTTGGAAAAGTTTGTTTCTCGTTCAGAACAGAAGCTTTTTGTCCTTGAAGTGTTGGGTTTTTATTTTGCAAAACAAACCAAGCCCATGGAGAGGATACTGCCTGTTTCCATGCCGGCTCTGAGCACCTTCCCTCCCAGGCAATAGCCCGGCGTCAGCCCGCCGAAGCTCTTGGCTCTTCCGTTGTTTTCTTTTTCCCTTTCTGAACCTTGCCACCCTGGCTCCAGCGCTGAGGCTGTAAAAGAAGATGGAAAGCCAAGTTACCGCAGAATGATCACTATCATTAACATTCACGGGTGGTTCACTTATCATTCCTGACTGCACAGACATGGCAGCCGTTATGAAACGTCCACAGGGGTAGCACGATGATACATATTACATTGTGCCACAATGGATTTATGTATTCTGTAACAAAAGAAAAGTGTAATGAAAAAATACAGAAGGTAATCCTTTATTCCTCCACTGCACAATTTATCAGTAATGCCTGTGGATGATAAGTGCCAGGGATTTCCTTTGCTTGATTTAACCTTGTCACCCAGGTATGTTTTTGCAAAATGACAGAAAATACAAGCTAAGGAATTTCATTGGCTTCCAATTTGTAAGCAGCAGTTTTAATTGATTGAATAGCATCTGCTTGTCTGTCCCGTTTTCTAGTGTGTTGACTTAAAATAAAGGTATCACACGTTAGCAGGGTAAGCTAAAACATGTAATTTATAATCATAATTAAGGATATGCTGGAATTAGGTTGAGTGAGGACAGTTCATGCACATTATCAATGCGGAGCATAACCGGGAAGCTGGCAAGGTGAGGCGAGGTGTGTATTTCTTTCTTCCAGAAGAACCTCACAGTGCTATTTTCACATCAAGGTGGATTGCGGTAGATTGATGATGTTTTAGGCGATCCAGTGCGGAGGGTGGCTCCAGGACTCCCTGCCTGTTTGACGGCGCAGGGCTTCTCCTCCTCTGCGGTGCAGGAAATGTGCTCTGACACGCTGGCCTGACCCCAGGATGACGGCAGAATCTCTTTGGTCTGGGCTTAAATCTGCTCTTGGCTCAGATTTGTGGGTTTACTGAGTGCTAAAATGTCAGTATGGAGGTTCTGTGGTGTATTGTTAGAGAAAAACAGCGCTGCAGCCTTAGTGAGCTGGAGCGGAGGAAGGGGAGAACCGTGCGTCTGAGCTGGGATGGGCGTTTCAGACCCTTGGGCTCTGTTCCAGAGCAAATATCCAAAAGTTTACAAATGCGGGGTGCGCTTCACATTTCGCTGCTCTTGCCAAAGACTTGCTCACTGGATAGCACACTAAATATAGTAAAACAGAGAGGTTTTTCTTATTTTACTTTGATCAGTAAAATAAACTTTTAAAGATTGTTCTGGGATGAGATCCAGCTTCTGAGGCAAAGAATGGCTGTGGCTTAGGCATGAGTTAGTAATAGAGTGTCAGGAAAATTAGTCTGACAGTTCTCAGGCCAGCTGCTCAATAGAAAGAATCAACCAAGTTGGGATGGCCTGAAACATGAGCGGGATCAACAGCAGGATGTGCTCTTTAGCGGCTGAAGTGTCAAGAATCGAAAGACAGTCTTCCATTTTCAGGAGGTTCCAGATACGTGTTGGCGTGAATAGCCCCGAGCTGGGTCAGCCATGGTCGGTTGCTGTCGTTTGCTTTGCACCCACTGGGAAGCGGGGCTGATCCGTGGTGTAGGCTGCAAGCCCTGCTTTGTTTGTGGGAAAACACGTTTGAAAAACGTTTTGTACTAAAGGAAAAAAAATAAACTTGTGACTCCGGTCGCTTTGACCGTAAAAGGTTTTGGAAGACTCTCTTCACCTTTGCTGGTTGGTTTTTGTTTTTTTTTTTGCACTGTTTTAATTTATTCTCCTGTATTTTGGTTGCAGTTCTCTGGAAACCTCCTTTCAGTATTGCAGAGCATTCTATGAATTGCCTGAAGACACCAGATGTCTTTTGAATCAGTGTTCTAATGGTTGGGTCCAGTGTGCAAGGCTTTTCTTGTAGCGCTTCATTGACAAACATCGTGTCATTTAAATAAAAGTGCAAAGGTAGTTTTCTTTTTGTAATTATAGTATAATTGCATAAGAGGTTTTTCACTTTAAAAAAATCCACTAAATCTAGCTCAGCAGGTCAGTTCAGACTAGAGCTGTAATGACTTTGGGCAGTGAGGTGGATGACCAGGAACCTGCTGGGCAAAGGCACAATGTTGTGCGGTGTTCCTGCACGTTGCAGGGTTCTGTAGCAGCTTAAGGGAAGATTTGCTCATCGGTAAAGAGTTTAGGAGGGTCTCTGCTCACTGTATGGCGTGAGTCAAGACCCCTGAATCCTTGGGCTGTACTGAGGATGGCAATCTCACCACTGCAGACATGGATGGTACTCCCTCATGTGGAGCAGCAGGCTCAGTTCTGCTCGTTCTGTATTAAACACATGGCAGAAATAGAGAGGGAAACAGTAGATATGTGAAAAGATTGGGAATATTTGGTTTGAAGATGAGTAAGATAGAGTTATAAATAATAAATGGTCTGGAGAACATAAATTTGGGGCTTTTAGGCAGTTTCATTTGCCAGGAACAAAGGGAATTGAGAATGAATTCAGATGAGACTAACCCACAACTGATGAGAAGGGAATGCCGTTTTACACCAGTGACTTGTGGGACTGTCTGCCGAGGGGAGAGGAGCCCGGGGCTGAGCTGCCCGAGGAGCCAGGGGATGCTCTGAAAACAGACCCATCCGATACGTTACTTACAGCGTGGCAGGCATTTTTATTTTTTGTAACGCATAAATGACCGCCCGTGGTGGATTTCTTGACCGTCTCTTCAGCCTTTGACAGCCATTCTTGGCAGATGATGTTTTGTTGAAAAGCTTAACCGGGGTAAATAAGGTAGCTCTGTGCTGTGAGGGGGGTAAAAGGGGACAGCGTGTGCTGGCTGTTCTGATAGCTGCAGGAAGAGC